TTTTTTTCCATATATTTTGCATGGAATTAAGAAATGCTTGGAAAACAAGAGGATCCCGTAAGAAATCCGGTAATTTTAATATTTTAGAACCTGGAGGTATCGTTTAACCTCAACACGGATCTCTTCCTCCCACGACCTCCGTGCGACCTGGAACGACGACGGCCGTACCCCAGCCCGGTCAAACGCCGGCCAAACAAAATCGAGTCACTGCAATACCTAAACCCATGGTATTAGATCCTCTCAGAATTCTTCAAGAAAGAAAAAACAGGTAAAATTGGCTTCTTTTACCTGTTGGAATTTTTATCACGTGACAATTCGGGACGATTAACATTTTGCTTTGCATCAACTTTGTAGGAAAGCAGCTCGGATCGCAATGAGAATCGACGTACTTAACAATTTACCAACTTTGATGGCTGAAGATTTAAAACTTCGAGCTTCGAAATCGAGTTGAGATCATTGAGACTTTTAAATTTTCAATGGCAGTTAAAAAGCGAAGTTAGTTAAATTATTTTTCATTAAATTTAAACAAATTTTTTGTAAATTTCTTTTTAACTTATAGCTTGTCTTTTAGATTATAGCTTGTACGCGTCGCTATACCACGCTAGAAACTGCCATCAATGTAAAAGCATACAAACGAACCAAAGATCAAGGTTTGAGAGAAGCAAGAGCAACTGAAAAACTTGAGAAACAGCAAAAATTAGAAGCGGAAAGAAAGGTAATCAATCATTGACCTAATGACCTCTAAGAAAATATTTAACAGGATAGAAGATGGAAAAGTAAGCGGGGGGAGGAGGTGGGGGGAAAAGTTTCATTCTGACTCTTGTCATTGTTGTTTCAGTATTCGGATTTTGACGATTTGGAAAAGGATTTTACTCAAATGTGTAAAAATGTTGAAATATACAACGAAGAACCTTCTCTCATACACGAAGATTCAATCGTCCTTCAATCCGTGTTTACGAACGCGAGACAAAGATTGGAACAGGATGCGGAAACGGATGAGGATAAAGGTGATGATGAGAGAATCCCGTCGTTCGGATTTTATTATTTGTCGAATTTTATTTATTTTGATTTTTTAAATTTTCAGACGGTGGACGACGAGGATGGAAATTCCGAATCGGAATCCGTTAGAATGAAAATAAAAATAAAAAGTGGAAAAGGAGGAAGAGGAAGCACGAGAAGGAGGAAAACTCAACCAAAGTACACGAATAGCGATGACGAAGAC